CATGGCCAAGCTCCATTGCAACCAGCAGGTTACTGGGGCAATTTCTTAGCTCTTCTGAGCCGGTTCCAGTGGGATGAAAACAGTCATGACCTCATCAGGTTATCAAGGGTTAAATGTCCAAAGTACATAACCTTGCACCTGGCCCAGGGTAGATGTTTCCTAAATATCAGCTGGCTTTTACATGGTAACATTTGCTTAGTGATATGCCACACCCGTAATAGAACACCGGCAAAAATGAAAGTCAAACAGCATTTTCCACCATAAAACAGCATGTTCTTTAACCATAATGTCTTTCAGAGAGCATTGAATATGTTTTTTATAATGAACACCAGAAACACCAACAGCTCTCAACAACCAAGCCATGCATGTCTTGCCAAAGTGGTGGCATTGTGGGGAGGTGATTTCATTCTTGATGAATTCAAAGACCGGGATTTCACTTCTCAGCCTCGTTCCATCCTCTTAGCAAAGTATATGCAAAGGGCTTGGTTTTATTACACAGCTTTATTGAGTCAGAATTCACGTACCATATAATTCCCCAGTGGGGAAGTGAGATGTGGGGATTTCAGTTTATTCACAGAACTGTGCAAGCATCACTGTTGCCTAACTTCAGGACATGTGGCAGAATAGAACCCAAAAGGAACCCTGTGTCCACTGGCGGTCACTGAGTGGACATGGGATCCATTCACTTTTCTGTCTGTTTTTTGAACACGTCTGAATTATTCTGACCGCATGCAGGGGCCGCTTCCTGCAGGGCTTCCTCTGGCCTCCCCACTCTCACTTCATCCTGCACTCCTGCAGATGTGTCACCCTGCCTCTTTCTGCTTTGTCTTTCCTCCCAGCAAGAGAATTTAAAGGACTGACTCCTCAGCGTGAGCACCTGCCAGGCTTCCACTGTTTGCCCACATCCCTCCGCAAGGTCAAGTTCATTCAGCCTTGCCAAAGCATGGGAAGGAACAGCCATCTCATGGCTCCCACACATTTATTGGTCAAAATTTTATGCACCAAGAGTTTTAAAAGCACCAGCACCACACACAACATAGGAAATATAAAAATTCACCATTTGCTATCAAGATTTTAGCAAGTAGTAACACACAGTTACTCCATTGTTTTGAACGTAATAAAGGAAAATGACTTTGAGATACATTTCTCATGATTTTTATCCAGAAAAATCAATCATGTCTAGGAAAACACCATGACCAGAAGTGACTTTGATGCAGGGAAAATGTCAGTAGGATTTGTGATTTTAAAAGGGAGGCCATTATTGGAACAGAGATCAAGTTAGGATGGTAGAAAAGGAAAAGTCATCCTTTTGCAGCAGGGATCATTACTAGGTGGCATGAAAGGCCAGACCGGGGCTACAGGGCTGAGCCCAGGCGCCTGGGCGGTCACTCATACCTGTGTTCTTAGGAAGGGACTGAGCCCTGGGCATCTAGCCGGTGGAAGGCCAGACACTGGAGGAATATTCCATCTAGAATCCTGAGAACAGAAAAGAGTGGAGCGTATGTTTTCTGGGTCTTGCCTGACTGCACCCACTTGCTGGGTCTGGAATCCAACCAGAAAGACCTAAGTGGGCCTGGAGAATTGGGCAGCCCTGGGAATACAAGCTCAAGAGCAGATTGAGCTCTATTATCAAGGGAGCCTACGAGTATTCTGAACCAGTATCTGCGAGCTACTAAAAAAAACAAGCAAGCGAGTGGCTATGGTCACCAGCGGGGTGAGCCAGAATGCAGGGGCTGGCGGAGGTGGGGCCAGCAGAGGTCAGGGAGATGAATGGACACTCCCATCTCTCCTGGGTCAGGGGTGGCCCTGCCCCTGATAAACCCTACCGGATATGATGGAGGCACCTCGCAGGGCCTGTCCTCTCTCCCGCATAAGGCCCTGGCCTCACCCTGCTGCTCCAAAGCTTAAGGCCCCCATGGTTAAGCCTGTTGCTGAAACTTGTCCTTGCCCAGAACACATCACCAAAATAGCTCTTGCAAAAGGGGAAAACCAACAATGTGGTGGACTGGCCCCAGAAGCAAAAAACGTTCTCAATCCCAAGAAGAGCTTGCTTCTGAGATGCCCGCGTGGATTTTATTTACATACTCTGCATTTCTGGCACTTGTGCTTGCCAGGCGGGTCTCAAGCATCTAGATCAACTGTCTGGAGTCAGGGAACCTCCTGTGCAATCTACAAGGTGAGTGAAACAAGCCACGGGAGGGTGAGCCTGGAGATGGGGCAAGCCCAGGCATCGGAAGGAACCACTGGCCAGACCAGCAAGCCCCTTCCAGCTCCAAATCGGCTACCTGGCTGTGTCCTCCAAAACCACGGGATGACACCAGGGCGTTGCTGGGGCCAGAGGCGGCCAGACGCAGCTACAGAGGAGGTTTTGGCCCTGTGGGGTAAATACAGACTTTCCCCTTCTCCTGGAGGCTAGGGAAGCACGATGCGAGGTTGTTTGGGAAGGATGCAGTAAAGTGATCAAACACAAGGCATTAGAGAAATCCCTCATTTTAAATATAAAACACTGCTGCTGCGTCTACAGTCCCAGAGAAACGGGAGCAAGAGTTGATTCCATTAGAGGTGGTCTCTCCTTTAAAAGAATAAATTCTGGGCCCTCCCTCGTGGCACAGCGGGTTGGTGCGCTGCACTGCGAAGCTAAGCCAAGCTGTGGCCGCTTTAGTGCAAATTCGATCCCGCCCTGGAGGTGACCCATGTGGCGCAGCAGACCTCTCCTGTCTCTCCCCATTGCTCCCCTCAGGAGTGGACTTCCTCAGTTTGCCTGCTCTGCTCCCCACTCTGTTTCTGGTGAATCCTCTCGCAGCCCCTGCACCTCTGGCCAGTCTCCCATTTCTGTATGCATAAATAAATAAAACCTTTAAAAAAAGGAATACATTCTACTTGCAGTCACTCACCGCCTCCCACCCTTTCCCCCTCTTGCCCCAACATTTTACCACTTAGTTTAAAAATACAAATTGGAGACTAAGACACCTTGAATTACTGAAAACAGTGAACAAATCCCATCCCCACGGTCTCTGTGAGAGGGGCAGACAGAAACACCCCCCACCCCCGGCCTCGCGCTCACCCCATCACGCTTTGGGATCTGCGTGGGCGAGGGAGTTCAGACAAGGTGTACAGTCACCGAGATAAGTCAGAAGCCTGCCGGTACCAACCAGCTGCTGGCAGTGCCAGCTGGCACAGGGCACGTGCTACAACTGGTTCCTCCCGAACATGAGTTCATCGTGTGGTTTAGCATTAAAAATCCTTCACCTTGTGTGGGCGCCTTCAAGTACATTCAGCAAGCGGACGCCCATTTCACGCCTCCTACGAGGGAGACACTGAGGAGCCGGAGCTACATGTCTCCTGGCCTCTCGGATCGCAGCTGCTTCTCGGAGGGGATGGACATGACCCCGATCAGCTGCGAGCCACACACCTCTCCCCAGAGGGTACTTTGCTTCACAGCCTGTCCCACACAAAGAGGCCATTTGGGAAGAAAATAAGGCCAGGTCTGTGGCTTTGCAAACCTTTTGGAATGGCCAGGCCCTAAAACATGGTGCGAGGTCACTTGTCCCAGTGGTCTCTCTGTCTATGCAATGATCTATTTCTATTTTATTTATTTTGCACAGAGGAGCTGATGTGCAGGCCAGAGGTGGGGGGAGGGGATTCACCAGAGACAGAGTGGGGAGCAGAAAAGAACTCACAGAAATAAGATGCTGAGGGAGCAGTGGGGGGGACAGGAGAGGTCTGCTGTGCCCTGTGGGTCAGCTCTTGGGCTGGGGCTCGAACTGGTGCTGCAGTGGCTACGGCCAGCTTCCTAGTGCTGAGACTTAACCCTTGCGCCACCAGGGAGGGGCCCACAATGATCTATTTCTTTCTTTCTTTTTTTTTTAAAGATTTATTTATTTGTGCATACAGAACTGGGGTACAGGCCAGAGGCTCAGGGGCGGCGAGAGGCTTCACCAGAGACAGAGTGGGGAGCAGAACAGGCAGATTGACGAACTACACTGCTGAGGGGAGCAGCGGGTGGGTCAGGAGAGGTCTGCCGCGCCATGTGGTCACCTCCGGGGCAGGCGGGGATGGAACTCATGCTGAAGTGGCTTTAGCTTCTCAGTGCTGTGCTTTAACCCGCTGCGCCACCAGGGAGGGCCACAATGATCTATTTCTAAGCAGTGGCAAGGAGGACTATTTCTCAGCAGGAGCAGAAGCGCGGAGACACGCACCTATCCACGTGGTTTTCCACACAGTGGCTCACCCGGGCACAGCTGCAAGCAACTGGGTTGCCACATCGAAGTGCCCTGGTTGAGTTCACCTAACAGAGAAAAGTACTGAAGTCTTCAAAGCTGCATGAGTCACTAATAAATGGGCTGTCCAGGCAGAAAAAGGAAAAAGAGACCCTGTCCTCTGGCCCCATGCCACACACTGTCTCTTAGCTGTCCCAGCTGTGCCAACAGCAGCTGCCAGCTGGGTGGAAGCCTGTTAAGTCATGGCAGGAAGTAAGGGGCTAATGATTTTTTGACGAGGTCAGTTTTTTGAGCTTATGAGTAATTCTAAACCCTTTCTTAACCCATAAGATGATGTCAGATGATCTCACTTTCCTAAATGAGGAAGATTATAAAAAGGCTGATAACACGCCCCCCCACCTTACCCCACAGCCACCCCCCCCACTTTTATTTACCACAGATAATCATCAACACCTGTCACCGTCAATAACACTTTTCAGACACAAATGGGATTCTGAGTCATAGGAAAACATACACATATTTCAAATGTTCATTCTCCTCTCTGGACGTCCTCTTGTCTTCCCACAGCCTTCAGGGAGTCTCGGTTACTTGAAAACGAGCTTCGTGTGCTCTGGGATCCCATACTTCCCTTTATGCTCCTCAAATAATTCCCTCAGCGCCTCCAGATAGGTCTGATGCAGCTCCGTGATCTGCTGCAGGCTGGGGTGTGGGGTCTGACGCACAGGGATTGGGCGGCCAACTGCAAAGAGACAAAAATCATGACGCCGAGGACCTCAGGCTGCCCCCCACGAGTGACCCCCTCCACGGAAGACCCCACGGACAGCCCCCAGGACCCGCCTGCAGGGCTGCAGCTCCCGGCTGCACTGAGATGGGGTCACCTGTGGCCACACGGTCCCCTTCACCACACAGAACCGCCTCCCCAACAGACACTGGACTGTCAGTGCCCGGACAGCTCCAGCTCTGCGTCAAGTGAATGTCTGTGTGGACTGCAGCTGTGAGGTGAGGGGTGGCGCAGGGCGTGCTGGTCACCAGCTCTTTCCCTCTGGCACAGCTGACGCCAGGCCACAGCACCCGATTATGACAGACTGTGCAGTCCCGAGGCAATGACAGACCCCTCAGCATCCTGCTAAAAATGTTCAGTTTCTCTCTTTATAGAGGTAGGTCTTCCCAGCTGAGTATCTGTACTAAAACACACACTTGCACACACCTGAGGCCCCACTGTTGCTGATAGTGGAAGGCAAAACCAACCCAAAGTCTCATAGACAAATTATTCCCTATGCCACAAAACCCTCAATGGGATCCTATCCAGCAGACTTAAAAAAAAACAGTGAAATATGTGTGCACACTCAGTGTTAAGTGGGAAAGAAGTAAGGTGTAAAATAATACCGCATGACCCCATGTATGAAGAACGTTTCTATTCCTAGGTACCTCATAAGCTCTTACAAGTCCAGAGAAAGAGCTTATACAGTTTCCTGTGCAGAGGGAGACAGAAATGGGGGAACTTGAAAGTCATGTGTGGTGTATGAGTTTTCCATAAAGAGAATGCGTTTGTTTTACCTGCACAATTCAAAATGAATTATATGTACTGTGAATTGGTTATTTTTCAACCTGGAAACTTTCACAGTGTTTTTTTTTTTTTTTTAAGATTTATTTTTTTATGCATTCAAGAGCTTGGGTACAGGCCAGAGGTGTGGGTGGTGAGGGGATTCACCAGAGACAGAGTGGGGAACAGAGCATGCAGACTGAAACACACTGCTGAAGGGAGCAGCAGGAGACACAGGAGAGGTCTGCTGCGCCATGTGGGTCAGCTCCCTAGCCGGGGGTCCAACTCACCACACTGATTTTAAAAGGACTGCGCATGTAACAACTTCTCTCTCAGACCCGCTCTCCGGGGTCCTCCCTGCGACTCGCTGCGCCCTCTGCTGCTCAGATGCTGCTACTGCTGCCTAGAGTTGAAACTACAAGGATGAGTGACCCACGCGCGGGCCCCTGATTACCTTTAACCAGCCTGGGCAAGAGGTCAAACGGGACTGCAAGGAATAGAGTAGACTCACATACAAGGAGCTTTCCTTTGGCCTACTGGAGTCCCTAGGCTGCATCCCAGACTCAAATCCCTGTCAATACAGACAGTAATTACTTAAGGGGGGGAAAAAAAAACAGGTCAAAGTGTTAAGTTACAGAAAAAGAAGTAATAAATGACATTCGTATGGGAGATAAGACACACAGAGAAGGGAGTGATACACACACGTAGCATGTGATAGTGTGTGTTACATAATAATTGTGTGGAGCTGGTGTATGCAAGGCATTGAGCTAGTAACTTATATATTCTGCAACATTTATATCCTCAAATTGTTAAATGTACAGTTTTCTTTGATAGCTGGGACGTCACATTTATATAGACACCAGCCTTGCAATTCAACAGAAAAAACTAGAATACCATCTGGCAGTGTGCTGTTGTTAGGACAATGGACTAGGAGAGGCTAATGTCGTAATGGGATGGAATCCCCAGCTGCTGATGTTCAAATGCACTGGGTTAGACCAAATCGGTGCTGGCCAGAAATTGTGTCTCTGATCTTCATCATCACATAGACAGGGTGAAAGAGTAGAACTAGAAGACCTTCAAGCACCTTCCAAGTCCTGGACTTAGTTGTTTTGGGGGGCCAGAGCGAATAAGAAATTGACAGGCAAATTGAGAAATCCACATCCCAATCTATATGCAAATTTGCAAATACATGGTTTTATGGAAATAGCTTCTGTCTTTGTAGTGAAACGATCCCAGGAAAAAGGTCAAGAGCAACTGTCAGAAGGAAGAACTCAGAAGCTGATGTACTACTCCCACCTTACTTAAATTAGGACCTGTGAAATCTGAATTATTCACTTAGGCTAGTTTCTATACACTATTCTACGGTGAGCTTCAATTCTGTTCTTTTCTTATTCATGGTTTTATTACATTGCAGACAGTTCTTCCAAAGAGCTCAAATATCCCCACAGACATCGATTATACCATTAGAAGACTTGCCCCATTCAACGATGAGACAGCCATTAGTCATATTCACCTTCCTTTTACTTATGCATAAAGAAACCCTGGTTCTGGATACTCCCAATCCCCCACACATGAGAGGAAGTAAAAATTCAAACCCAATTCTCCTGCCACTCATTAATAAACGAACCCAAAATTGAACTGCAGAGTAAGACATCCTGCTTACATGCCTTCTGGGGAATAAAAGCACAGATAACCAGGCCCTCCCTGGTGGCGCAGCGGGTTAAAGCACCACACTAAAAAAGGCTAAGGGCCACTTCTGCATGGGTTCGGTTCCCGCCTGCCCCGGAGGTGACCGCATGGCGCGGCAGACCTCTCCTGACCCGCCTGCTGCTCCCATCAGCAGTGTACTTCCTTGATCTGCCTGTTCTGCTCCCCACTCTGTCTCTGGTGAAGCCTCTCGCCGCCCCTGAGCCTCTGGCCTGTACCCCAGTTCTGTACGCACCAATGAATAAATCTTTAAAAAAAAAAAAAGATTTGTTTAAAAAAAAATAAAAATAAAAAAAAAAAATAAAAAAAGCAGAGATAGCCAAACAAAACTTGCAAATTTCAAATGGGTTACCTGAGCCTTTGAACACCAGAAGTCTCCTCATAAAAAGGAGACTTTTTACTATGAAGAGAAAAAAATTGCTTTCAACCATAGTCTAAGGGCATTGCTTACTGCCACACCACCCCTACCATGCCACAAAAGAGAAATGGTGGCATCAGGTTGCTCTTGAAGTCAACTCCTTGCCAGGAAAATCAGCCAACACTGCTGTGGCAGTCAGGAACCACAGAAGCTGTCCGTGGCCCACTGCTTTATATAGCTGGTGAGGCAGTTCAGAATAAGCCTTCCCCGATGTGCCACTAAGATGTGTGAATTATTTTGAGCCAACGGGAAATTAAAATCCAGTAGACTCAAGGAGAATGTTTGCCTCTCCCTTAACTATCCTCAAGGAATTCAGAGAGGGGGCCTGGCCCAGACAGAGTACTATGCCAGAGAGAACTTCTAACCTGAATGACTGACTGTAAGACAGGACAAACACCTAATCAGTCACACATCTGCTCTTCTCTTCCTGGGAATTGCCCTCTCCCCAGACCCTATCCCACTCCTGAGCTCAGGATGGCAGAGAAGCTTCCATGGCCATGGCCCAACTTGTCCTTGGTTTTCATGGTTCTTTTTTGGCGGGAGGGGGGTCTCTGTATATACAAGATTTAACTTGGTTTCTCCTGTTAGCCTGCCTTCTACTGCAGGAAACATCTCAGCAAAGAACTTGCAAGGATAGAGGGGAAATTATTTCTCCTCCCCTACACTGGCAAGCTGTTCCATCTTCTAATTCCATCCAGCAATTCAACATCCGCTATACACTTGTTACATGCACTTCTGTGATGCTGTGTCTACTAGATGTGAATTGATGATAACGAATGAAGAATTTTGGAGCCACTGTATACGCAGCTGGAGAGGAAGAAGAAATAAGCACATTTTCCTCTCATTAAGGCAGAGAGTATGGATCCTTCGTAATCAGAAATCTTTGCTCTATTTTTCTGTAATCATGAAAGTTCCACAGTTTATCTCCTTAATGGGCTCATGTCAGTAGTACTCTGTTCATGGCATGCAGCTAAATGTATAAAGAAGGAGCAGGCAGGGAGCTGTGTGCCAGTGTGGGGTTCTGGAGTTGAAAGCTGGGTGTCCCAAGAGAGCTGGATTCAAGTCCAGCCTCTGGTTTATGGTGGAGCCTCAAAAAAGAGACCCACTGTGATTGTGTGTGTGTGTGTGTGTGCATGTATATCTCCTACCCTCCTATTTCAGAGAATCCTTTGCTTACTCTTCCTTCATCAGGGGATAACAACAATTTGAAACAAAATGGACTATTCTGTCCCCCAAGTGGTCTCAAACTATTTCTATTTAATTAACATATACTTTATTCCAGATCGTCTTTATTTAAGAAACTCAATCCTATAGAAAGAACAATACAATAAGCACATGACACCCTTCCTCTAGACACACCAATTTTTTTGAATGTTTTGTACACATGTGTGTGTATATATACATATAGAGTGTGCATGTGCATGTATGTATTATTATCATTGACCCACTTGAAAGCAAGTCGTAGACAGCAATGATGCCATCGTGTTAATCATGTCTGAATATTTCCATCTGTGGCATCAAAGAACGAGAACAGTGGCCTGGAGAACAGCAGTCCTCTGTACTCAAGGAACTAATCTGGTGCTAATTCACATTCAGATGTTCTCCACCGCCTCAATGACATCCTGGATAGTTGTTTCCCTCCAGCCCCCTACAGCTGCTATGTGTCTCGACTCCTCCTTGTTGGACCTTATACAACATTGATCATTTTTTGAAGAGTTCCAGCCAGCAGCTTTGTACAGAGTCCCACCATCTAACTTTGTCCATTTCCTCCTGATTCAGCTCAGATGCACATTTTGGCATGAACACTTACACAGGAAAATGGAAACACATAACTGCTGTCAACAGCTGTCTAGGAAGCCTTCAACTCTACCCAGCAGCCCACAGCACCAGGCACCTGGGTATTTTCCCATGAATCATGGCAGTTAACCCCAGGAATAACCCTGGGAGAGGACAGGAAACCAGCATAGGCTAGTTTCGAGTTGTAACATCTAAGGCTCAGATAAGTGAGTCATTTTAAGTCACCCAGAGTCAGACCTTGAAGGCCACACCTCTTCACTCTGAACATTTAGCGGATATATTATTGATGTATTTTTAATGTCTGGATTGATTTCTGTGTGTGGTCAGTGGCTGAGCATGAGATGGAGCCATCAACATGCCCCTTCAGATTTCTCCATGACATGGTTGGGTTTTTTCCAACATAGCCATAAGCATATAAATGCAATCAGTGAATCTATCATGTCCATAATCAGAAGACAGACCCTGCTTTGGCAGAAAGACAGGGGAAGCCTGGAGGCTGGAAAAGAGGGTTGAAGCCCTTGCTTGGCTACATGCAAACATGGTGAGATCCAACCCGTCTGGGTGTTGGTAATTCTAAGAATCTGACATGGGCAGAAGAAAAAGCTCTTCTTTATGAGAAATGCCAATAACTGATATAGTTGTGTGATAATTAGGAAATGACCGATTTGCAACATGTTTATCATTGATTCAAGCAAGCATTACCATGGCTATTAAAACCATACAGTAAGGTTTGAGGAAAAGCCATTGTTCTTAGGCAGCCCCTAGGGAACAATGCTCCCAAGTTCCGTGTTAATAATACAGAGGAAAGGGCTGCCTGGAGGCCTAGGAGCTAAATCTCGTGCTTTCACCACTGTGGCCTGAGCTTGATCCCTGGCCAGGGAGCTGACCCACATGACCCTCTCCTGACCCGCCCACTGCTCCCCTCAGCAGTGTATTTCATTGATCTGCCTGTTCTGCTCCCCACTCTGTCTCTGGTGAATCCTCTCGCCACCCTTGCACCTCTGGCCTACACCCCAGTTCTTGTATACATAAATAACTGAAAATCAGAACTGTAGTTTTCTGTTGTTACAGTGATTTCATATTTGGTCATTTACATTCAATGCTTGAAGAATTAATTATCTGTCAGTAGAAGTATAACCAGGCTATATAAAGGACAAACTACTAAAAAAAATAGGTAAATGTAACAAGGAGAGTACAAACATTTCATTCAAAATAAACTTACATTCAACATTAACTAGTTATTTTGTGTGTGCATGAATTATAACCAAACATTAGGTCCTAAAATTATGTTTTGAAATTTCATTATACTTCAAATCTAATGCTTTGCACACAAGGGATCAAAAATGGCTAATTGACAATATACTGAAGAAATCTAATTAGCCTATCTTGAAAACACACAGTTGCAAACTTACCTCAGCATTCCTAGTACAGGAACCTAGAGGCTGTTAACATTCCATTTGGATTAAGTACAACTTACAAAGATAAGTCCTGTGGCTACATGTGAAATGTAAAACTCTTACACACCGATAGTAGCAAAAGCCCATTTTAAAGAAATAGCTGGAAAAAACTTGCACTTCATTTACGTCTACAGTGAAAATACATGGTTTTATTTAACTATGCCACTGGCCTCTGGCTTAGCACTTTCTCTCCAGTCCCCTTTCAACTTCAGGTGCTAAAGTAATTCTTCTGCTCCTCAGTCCCTCCATCACCCTAGACTGTTACCCTCTTTCCCTATTACATTCCCCCAAATACTCAAATTTCAAAAATAAAATCAATCTTAAAAGAAAGTAGAGGCTGGGCCCTCCCGGGGGGTGCTACGGGTTAAAGCACAGCACTGCAAGCCAGCTGCAGCCACTTCAGCATGAGTTTGATCCCCTACCCTGGAGGTGACCCACGGGGTGCAGCAAACTCTCCTGTCTCCCTGCTGCTCCCCTCAGCAGTGTGTTTCAGTGGATCTGCCTGTTCTGCTTCCCACTCTGTCTCTGGTGAATCTTCTCACCACCCCTGCACTCTGGCCTGTACCCCAGTTCTATATGCATAAATAAGTAAATCTTCAAAAAGGAAGAAAATAGAGGCCTCCCTGATGCTGCAAGGGGTTAAGTCTCAGAACTATGAAGCTATCTGCAGCCACTGCAGCACGAGTTCCATCCCCAGGCTGCGAGCTGACCCACATGGCACAGCAGACCTCTCCTGTCTTCTTCCCCTTTGCCCCCCTCAGCAGTGGATTTCAGTGGATCCATCTGCTCTGCTCCCCACTCTGTCTCTGGTGAATCCTTTCATCCACCATGACTCTGGCCTACATCCTAGCTCTTATATGCATAAGTAAATAAAAAAGAAAATGTGTGGTATATATACAAATGGAATACTCCTGAGCTATATAAAATAATAGATGAAATCTTGCCATTTGTGACAACTTGGATGGAATTGGAGAGGAGTATATACATGAAATAAGTCAGAAGGAGAAAGACAAATATCAGTGATTTCACTTACACGTGGAACACATAGTAAAGGAACAGACAAAATCAAATCCAGATGCATCCTTAAAATTTGATCACAGAACTGAGGTTAGGGGGAGGTCAAGGGTGTGCTCTAAGGTTGGAGGGGGTCCAGCAGACTTTGGTGAAGAGTTAGGGGATCTTTGGTGTAGTGTGGTAATATACACTAAAGAGGTGTGAACCTGTACTCTTTAAACATATGGTGTTGTAAATCAACTGTTGTAACACTGTCTCAATAAAACAAATAATAAAAGATAGTAACATCTGTCTGTATTAAAATATTTATACCTATACCTATAACTCGTTGCTTAAAAAAATGCCTTTACTGGGTCCTCTCTGGTGGCACAATGGGTTAAAGAACAACACTCTGCAGCCACTGCACCACAAGTTCGATCCCCGGCCAGGGAGGTGACCCACAGGAAACCTCTCCTGACTGCCCAGTGCTCCCCTCAACAGTGTATTTCAGTACATCTGCCTATTCTGCTCCCTACTCGGTCCCCAGTGAGTTCTCTCACCCTCTGCACCTCTGGCCCGTACACCAGTTCTTGCATAAAGAAATAAATCTTTTTTAAAAAATGCTTTAACTGGCCCTCCCTGGTGGCACAGCAGGTTAAAGCACAGCACTGAGAAGCTCAAGCCAGGTCCAGTTCGATTCCTGCCTGTCCCGGAAGTGACCACATGGCGTGGCAGACCTCTCCTGACCGCCCACTGCTCCCCTCAGCAGTGTATTTCCTCGATCTGCCTGTTCTGTTCCCCGCTCTGTCTCTGGTGAAGCCTCTCGCCACCCCTGAACCTCGGCCTGTACCCCAGTTCTATATGTATAAATAAATAAATCTTTTAAAAAATGCTTTTACTATAGAAACAGATGCCTATATGAACTGCATGATGAAAAAAAATCTATTACACAGATATCACCATATATTAGCAGGTGTAACTTGTTCATCAGAGAATTACTGTGTTATAAAGATAAATAGATTCATCAGGGAGCATTGAAAACTTAACTTCTAAAGCTAGATTCTACCTAGGCTTCACTTGCCAGGCTTTTGAAAATAATCGATCCCCATCCAGATGAAAAATATTTCACAAAGAAAAGGCATACTGTAAATCAAGAACAAGTAGCATCTATGGGAATCTACCATAGGAAGTCCCTACTGAAACCCACATCTCTTGCATTATCAGATCCTCAGCCAAATAACAATAAGCATTGTTCAAAGTAAGAAAATACTTTTACTCATTTAAATAAGACTTTCATGACGTACATACCAACCGAATAGATAGGTTTCCGATAGGGCACAAAGCCAAAGCTGTATTGAAAAATTCCCCTGGCGTGGAAGAGGGGTAACGCAAATCCCATGATCTTCTGCAGTCGGTCCTGCACAGCTCGAAGCCATGAGCCTTCGGGATTGCTAACTTGTTTATAAATATCATTTTCGCCAAAAGAAAACACTGGGACCAAATAAGCTCTGAAATTAAAAAGAGGATAAATAAGAATTTTCAGGGAAATATTTTAAAATATTTTATTGAAATGTTGAATTACATATGTATTGGCTACTTTATTCTGTCCTGCTGATTCTTAACAGCTCCTGACAGTTCCCAAGCCTCTGTGTGGCCAAGTTCCTGTTGTCTACAATGAAACTGACGACATCCTGACATCTTCCATGTAGACTGCTCCTGCAGTCTACAGACTTGCGGGATTTTATCTTTAAGAGAACAAGGTTCCAGTGAGCTTAGTTCCACCTATAGTTTGGGTCACAGTTCATTTGACTGGAAGCTTACAGTGTGTCTACAAAATTTTATGTTTTTGTTTGCTCTGCTTTTCTTTTAAAGCTAGCTTACATTTCACCAAACAGGATATCCAGAAGGCCAACAGGCATAGGAAAAATTGTTCATTAATTGTCATTTTGAATAAGAAAGATGTGGGGCCTTACTAGTGGTGCAGCAGTTAAAGTCTCAGCGCTATCCAGCTATGGCCAGCCACTGCGGTCTGAGTTTGATCTCCCACCAAGGAGCTGACCCACAGAGCGCAGCAGACCTCTCCTGTCTCGCCTGCTGCTCCCCTCAGCAGTGGATTTCAGTAGAACTGCCTCTTCTGCTCCCCACTCTGTCTCTTGTGAATCCTCTCACGCCCTACTTCTGGCCTGTACCCCAGCTCTTCTATGCAAAAATAAACAAAAATTAAAAAACAAACTATAAGCTCTCCAATGTTTATTGCTGCACTATTTACATCAGTGAGGCCATGGACACTGACTGTGACCATTGTGGGGCTCTGGATGATGAAGGTTGGAATGTCTATGCTGTGGAATACGACTCCGCCAAAAGAGAAGACAAATGCAAACATTTACAGCAAAATGGTGGGAGCTCAAGGGAATAAGGTGTAGTAAAGCAAGTCAGAATGACAAAGAGAAACACCAGACTATTATATAGCAGAACACCATATAAAGTAAATCACAAAAACTATAGACAAAAACTATAGTGACTGCTCTGAGGTTAAGAGGGAGGGGAAGAAAGGACAAGGAACATACAAGATGATGGTGGGGAATAAATTAAAAATAAAAAGAGAGAAATAAAAAAGAGTGAAGGGGAGGGAAGTTCTGGATACCACCTCATTGGCTGGCCTCAGTGGCAAGGCCATGTTCCATGCCCCAGAACATCCACACCTGTTTTATTTTCAGATTGATTAGGAGGGCGTTTGTTTTGAAAGGTGGGGAAAATGATTTTGACTCTTGTGTCCATTTAAGAATGTCTGAACAGCCCTCCCTGGTGGCGCAGTGGGTTAAAACACAGCACTGAGAAGCTGACACCACTTCCACGTGAGTTCGAACCCCCCCTGCCCGAGGTGACCACACGGCGCGGCAGACCTCTCCTGACCTGCCCGCTGCTCCCCTCAGCAGTGTACTTCGTCGATCTGCCTGTTCTGCTCCCCACTCTGTCTCTGGTGAAGCC